TGTTTGATAACAGGAAGCCTGAACTGGAAATTGGAAGTTACTGAAGAACTGTAAATTAAAAGTTACTTAAAAAGTTCATAGTTTCTGTGTTTGATAACCTCCCTGAGAAGTTAGTAAGTTCATAGTTTCTGTGTTTGATAACTCTTGGGATATATGGTAAATATCTTATATTTATATTTACATAGATAATGATTTAAATAGAAATATATAATACTTATAACATACTATAATATATGATATATTGTATTTTATATTTATTTTTAATATATATATATATATATATGAAATTGTGAAATGGATGCCCTGCTATGTCGGGCATACTACCATGAGGATATGTACGATGCTTTCAGTTTTTATCTATGGAAGGTACACCGCACAGGTTGGTGGATCATCATAATAGTTCAGTATTTTGCATTGGAAAATATTGTCTTTGAATAGGAAATATATCTTATCTTTAGTACAAGGTGGTTACAATTAATTTTAGAGCATTGGATATGAAATTATATAGCTGCATTTATTCTATTGATCAAGCTCAAACTTCAAAATAAATTTTCTCAAACTTTGTGGCATACCTAGGCTATTGCGTTTCACATCGGATGGTTGTAATACAATCCCTTTAAAATAATATTATTTTAAATTATACTCTTCAAAAATTATTATTCTGTTTTCTATAATCTTTGAAAAGTACTCTTTTGGCTTACTGACCAAGCCTGGGCTGGGTCATCCTCGGCCCTAGCCCTGGCCCTTAGTGGGCAGGACCGGCCAAGTAGAAGCATAGAAAAGAAAAAAAGAAAAAAAAAGCCCCATTGGATCGGCTCAAGCTTAGGCCCTCATTCTGTGGCCAACCCCTACTTTTTTGGAGTTGAGCCGCTCGACCCATTGTTAACCCTATAGTAGTAAGAGAAGTGGTACAACAGAGGAGGTCATCTGTAAATAAAGGGTTACTATCTTCCATTATATACATACATCTAAGGAAAGTGAAGGCATCTGTAAAGCACGTGAGTAATGCAACATCCATGCATGCCGGGGCACTTGAGGCGCATTTTACACTTCGCTACACTTCGTATGTTTGCGTCAGTATAGGGGCGCCCTTAGCACATGTGCGGTTGCGGTTGGGCTCATGGCTCGCATCTGTTTAACACCTCGATAAGGGCATTTTTATAACTTATCTATAGAAAATGCATATAAAGGAATATTGGTAATTTACCTTGGTCAAGGTAGTGGCTCTTCAGTAATTTGTGGTGAGAGGTCCATAGAAGGGTAGTCGACTAATTCATAATCTTCTCTATCCAACATCTCTTTCCCTTAGCCTACACTATTTTTTAGAACCAACCCATTAAAACAAAATCCAAAAATTTGAATTTCCACTTTTTTTTAGAAATACATCAGAGAAAATCTCTCCCATTACAATCGTATCTCTCCTTTGAACTCTATTTTTCTTCCCTACCCTAGGCATAAACAAATTTTTTTGGAAACTAAAATATGGATATCTTTTGAAATTTTATCACCCGATCCCTACTATAGGCCTCTCCTTATTCTTTCAACATGTGTCTACCCTTTAAAATTTGATATAGTTGTTTCTCCAAATTAAAATATGAAATTGTTTTTCTCCCTAAAAATTTTGAAATAGTTTCTCTCTCTAAAAATTTGCATGTACTTTTTGATATGGTTTTTTCTCCAAATTAAAATATGATATTATTTTTCTCTCTAAAAATTTTGAAATAGTTTCTCTATCTAAAAATTTGCATGTACTTTTTCTTTTTAAAATATGATAGCTTCTCTCTCTCAAATTTTGAGATAGTTTATCCCTTTAAAAAAATTTAGTACTTTTTCTCTGTAAAATTTTAACATACTTTCTCTCTCTAAAATTTTAACATACTTTCGTTCTCTAAAAGTTAAAATGTGAGATAGTTTTTCTCTCTAAAATCTTGAGATAGTTCATCTCTCTAAATTTTTTTTAAAATTTTCTCTCTAGAATTTTAACATATATTCTCTCTATAAAATTTTAACATTTCTTCTCTCTATAAAATTTTAACATACTTTCTCTCTCTCCTTTAGAAATCCTTCAAGCCTATTTTTCTCAATTTGCTATTGACTTTCTTTATACTTAACCAAATTTTTTATTTATAATTATAGTTTTCTAATTTATAGAGAGGAAAAAAAAGAATCAATTTATTTTGTGATTAACCAAATCTCTCTCTAAATATTATATTTCCTATAATTTTGATTTCCAAATTCGTATTAAGGAAGAAAAAGGGAATCGTCTCACTTTCTAAAGATTGTCTCTCCTATAATTCGGATAACGAATAAAACAATAGATAGATATAAAAATCTCTCAAGATCCACTACCTTTTCTATCTAGGCATCTCTCCCCTTAAGTATATCCATAACTATCTCTCTCTTATCCACCTGAGGTTAGAAGTTCACACTCTCTCTCTTAGTTACATCTCTCTCTTCCACGTCTTTCTCACAGCTTTATTAAAATTTCTTCTCTAAAATTCATGATCTTCTTTATCCAACATCTATCTTTCAAACGGCTCTACGAAAATCTCTCCTCTAAAATTCATGATCTTCTTTATCCAATTTCTCTCTCCCTTAGCTTACACTATTTTTAAGAACTATCTCATCAAAAGATAATCCAAATATTTGAATTTCTATTTTTTTAAAATACATCAAATTTAAGAGAAAATCTCTCCAAAATTCATGATCTTCTTTATCCAACATCTCTACAAAAATCTCTCCTCTAAAATTCATGATCTTCTTTATCCAATTTCTCTCTCCCTTAGCTTACACTATTTTTAAGAACTATCTCATCAAAAGATAATCCAAATATTTGAATTTCTATTTTTTTAAAATACATCAAATTTAAGAGAAAATCTCTCCAAAATTCATGATCTTCTTTATCCAACATCTATCTTTCAAACCGCTCTACAAAAATCTCTCCTCTAAAATTTATGATCTTCTTTATCCAATTTCTCTCTCCCTTAGATTACACTATTTTTAAGAACTATTCATCAAAAGATAATCCAAATATTTGAATTTCCATTTTTTTGAAATACATCAAATTTAAGAGAAAATCTCTCCCATTTGAATCGTATCTCTCCCGTGAACTCTCCTTTTTGCTTCTCTACCCAAAGCATAAATAATTTTTTTTGAAAACTAAAATATGGATGTTTTTTAGAATTTTATCACCCAATCCGTAGATATCATGTGACCTCTTTCAACATGTGTACATCCCTTAACGTTGACTTAATAACGTAGCATAGATATAGATAATTGTAGCTTTTTAAACAAATATTAGGAAATACTATAAATGTAAATTGACTAAATTTGATATGATTTTTTATTTGGGAAAAGTTTATATAAGGTTGCAACCTTAAAATGTAGAATTATGGATACACCTCAAAAATCCATCGGAAAAGGTTGTTTTAATGTTGAAAGACCCTCTAATTGATCATCTCGACATGGAGATGTATGAATGTATAAAACAAAAGATTATGAGTCCCAAAAATAGTGCATCTTACAACACA